CTCTCAGTAAAGTAGTTCTTTCTAATATCTAATCTAAATCTCCCCTGCCCCAACTTCAGACCATTTCCTCTGGTCTTGTCGTTCGTCCTTTGGGAGAAGAGGCCAACACCTGCCTCTCTACACCCTCCTTTCAGGTAGTTGTAGAGGGCAATGAGGTCTCCCCTCAGCCTCCTCTTCTCCAAACTAAACATGCCCAGTTCCCTCAGCCTCTCCTCATAGGACTTGTTCTCCAGACCCCTCCCCAGCTTGGTGGCTCTCCTCTGGACACGCTCCAGCACTTCAGTGTCTTTCCTGTAGTGAGGGGCCCAGAACTGAACACAGCACTCGAGGTGAGGCCTCACCAGTGCCCAGTACAGAGGCACGATGACTTCCCTACTCCTGCTGGCCACGCTATTCTTGATACGAGCCAGGATGCCATTGGCCCTCTTGGCCACCTGGGCACACTGCTGGCTCATGTTAAGCCTGCTGTCTACCAACACCCCCAGGTCCTTTTCTTCTGGGCAGCTTTCCATCAGCACTGCCACCTGCCAGCATCATCTCTGTGGTGGCCATGAGAGACAATGTAGTGCAAAAAGCCATTTATCAGAGCAGAGAAGGTGGGAGAGTTCAATGGTTGATACTCAAGCACACAGAAAACAGTAAGGGGCCCCAGAAAGGTTCTCAAATGCTGTGAGACTTTCAGACATCCCAAAGGAAATGTTCTGCTTTGTTTTTTTGTCAGTTTTCTGCCTCGCAAGAATTCCTTGCCTGGGCTCTAGCTGGTGGCACAGGTTTTGGAAGAACATGGACCTGTTGGAGCAGGGCCAGAGGTCACGGAGATGCTGGGAGGGCTGGAGCCCCTCTGCTGGGAGGGGGGGCTGAGAGAGTTGGGGGGGTTCAGCCTGGAGAAGAGAAGGCTCCGGGGAGACCTTCCAGCCCCTTCCAGTCCCTCAAGGGGCTCCAGGAGAGATGGGGAGGGACTCTGGATGAGGGAGGGGAGCCCTAGGAGGAGGGGGAAGGGTTTGACACTGCAAGGGGGGAGATGGAGCTGAGCTGTGGGGAAGAACTTGTTTGGTGTGAGGGTGGTGAGAGCCTGGCCCAGGTTGCCCAGAGAAGCTGTGGCTGCCCCATCCCTGGAGGGGTTCAAGGGCAGGTTGGAGGGGGCTTGGAGCAACCTGGTGTGGTGGGAGGTGTCCCCGCCCAGGGGACTGGGTTGGACTGGATGGTCTTTAAGGTCCCTTCCAACCCAAACCATTCTCCAGTTCCACAAACACAGCAGATACTGCAATA